ACAGTGAAACATAAAGTAACAGTATTTAGAAAAGGCAAAGAGTCTTTGTGGCATTTATGATTGGAAAAAGGGTGTATACAGGGGGGATAGGGGACAATGTGGCAGAGTTGCAGGGTAATGGTGTGGGAGGTAGGTTCTGAAAGCAGTGAAGATTTTTACGAGGATAGTAGGCTCAATTTAATATGTAGGAAAGAGGGAAATTATTTTCCCAGTAAAAGTGGGCCTTAACAAGGATGTTGATGTCACCGTTTTTGTTTAATATTTTATAAGGGGGTTGTAAAGAAGTAAAGCGGGGGCGGGAAAGAGGCGTGGAGTTAAAAGATGAAGAATCCACAAAAAGTGGGATTTTTGTCACAGTTTGCCATGCTGATGACACGTGCTCGGGGAGATTCTGAAGAGAAGTTGCAGAGATTGGTGGATGAATTTGGTAGGGTGTGCAAAAAGAAAATTAAAATAATACGGGAAAGAGTAGGTTATAGGAAACAAAAACATTGGGTAAAAAAATTGGATATAAATTTTGGGAGGGAAGAGTATGGAGGAGGTGAATGTATTCAAAATTTTTAGAGTGGACTTCAGGGGAAAAGAAAGATGGGGGAATCTAGAATTGATGGGGGGAAAAGGGTGAGCGGTGCACTTAGGAGTCTGGGGAACAAAGAACTTTGTCCTTGGGGCAAAAGAGGGGAATTTTAGAGAAAATTTTACCAAACCTCTTAATGGGGTAAAGCGGGTGATAATTTGCGTGAGGGAAGGTGGGGGCAGTGGAGAGTCATGTCTGGGCAATGTGGGGTGTAATATAATCAGAGAATTCATATTTTTGGAAGTTAGAGGGGGGCGGGATTACCAAAACTGTCCCCGGGCTGAGGAAAAGGGGTTTTTGGGTGGTTCGGACATTAGAGGAAGGAGCGAAACGTGTGCTTCAAGGGTATCACTTATGGAAGGAAGGCGGGTAGGGGTCGGCCTGGAAAGGTTGGAGGGAGGGGTAAAGGTGGGTTTTTTGTGTGAGGGGGGTTGGACTTTTCCCGCAGGCATGCGTGAGCGTGTTTGATAGGATGAAGGAGCAAATGGTTTTTAATACTGCTGCTGTTGGGGGTTGAGCAAATAACATTTTTTGAAGGGTTCAGGGGAAAACCCCAGGCCGGACTTGAGTCCGGAATGGGAATACAGTGGCCCGCACTCGAACGAGGGGTGTTAATGTTGCAGTTTAAAACTGAGTGTAAAGCACCCTTCTGGGAAGAGATGATGGAGAAGGGAAAATTTTTCTTTTTCGGCCACCTCCTTGGGGAATCGCCAGCGTGATAATAAAAAAAAGTATATATATATGTCGGGCGAATAGGCAGAACTTGCGATCTTCTTAAAACAACGCTCCCTCTTCCCTATAGGACAAGTAAAATTTGTGTATTAATTTTTTCGCCAAAATCTTTCTGCCCAACAAAAAATATTTTCACTGTGCTTGTTTTAGTATTAAATTTGTAAAAAAATTTAAAAATATATATAGTTGGTTGGCTAAAAAAAATTGTTCTTGTTAAAATAAGGTTGGGAAAGTTTTCTAAGATTCTTTTGGTGCAAAATTTCAAAATTTTCACTTTAACATTAATAAAAAGATATATCTTTAAACGTAAAGAAAATTTAAAAAAAGGATTTAATTTTAAATGAGTTTTTGCAAATTTGACCATTTTACATATTCGGCACACATTATTATATAAAATATATATAATATAAATATATATATAATATATATATATAATAAATATTAAAAAATATATATATAATATATATAATATATATATAAGGTAAAACTTCGATTTTGTTTAAATAGCAACGCTCTTTTGCTGAATAGGGCAAGCGCAAGTTTGTGTATGCAATAATATCGTAAAAATCATTCTGATCCCAACGAAAAAAAATTATATTTCATTTTTTTTTAATTATTAAATTTTTGTAAATTTAACAAAATATATTTAGCTGGTTTAGGCAAATTAAATTGCTCTTGTTATAATAAATTAGAAATTTTTCAAAGGGTTGTTGGGGTAAAAAATTATTAATTTTTACATTAACAAAAATTAAAAAGAAATAACTCTAAACGTATAAGAAAATTTTAGAAAGGACTTAATTTTAAAGGATTTCTTGCAAACTACCAAATTTTACCCTCTGGGCACGACTTTATATATATATAATATAATATATATATATATTTTTTTTTAATAAAAATTTATATATATATATATATATATATATATTATATATAAATTTATATATATGCCAAATAGGCAGAATTTCGTTTTCTTGGCTTAAATAGAAACGCTCCTTGCTGTTATCAGGGTTCTGCATGACACGTAAGTACATATAGGGGGAAAATGGCCATAATAATATGAATATTATATTTTAAAAAGGAAAATTTATAATTGAAAATTTGTATTTGGGGTACTGTAAAGTACTCAAACTTAATTAAAAGAAATTCTTTTATTTTTTCCAAGGATTTTTGGGACGCGGAGTAAGCGTGGTTTGAAGCACGTGACGTTACATGGTGTGTAAGACGGGGTTCGGAGATGCTTGTATTTAAGAAAATTTTTTTTGTAGTTGTGCACTCTTTTTGTTTATCTAACTCAACCATAGGCTCTCATAGGCTTCCCTGTATTCACCCAGGCTCGACAGGGTCAGAGGCGTGGGGGGAGTGAGGAAATAAGAAATAGGTTGGATAATTTTTATTATAAAAAGGGGGGAAGCGCTAAACCCGGGGAGGTTTATACGGGCCCTGGGGGGGGATTGGAAGGCATTCGGCTTAATTGGGGGAAACGGGGCACAGATCCAATTCCTAAATCAAGAGCCCCCCCACCAAAATCAAAGGGAAACCCTTTCCCTTTAGGGGGTGTGGAGTAGAGTGGGGCCCGGCTCTGACTAGCTAGTGGGTTTGGGGCTGGACCCCCAGCCAGCTTTTTTTTTTGTACCCCATTGGGGGGTTTAGGGTTTAAGGTGTTTCTGTTATTTTTTTATGGTGACTAAATAGATATATTTTTCCCAAATTTGGGGTTTTTTTCCTAAACCCCCTTTTTACCCAACCCCTTTTTAAATACAATACTTTTAGTGCTTCTGTTTTGACTGGATACCCTGGGGTTGGCCGGTTTGGGCTTGAGATTTAGTAACTTTTACCTTTTCCCGTAGACAAGGCACAGCCCCCCCTATCCCACATTTTGCGTAAAATTGCCATATAGGATAATTACAATTTTGGGAGCAATAATTTCGCCAAAACGTCCCGAACTTAAGAAAAAAATAATTTCGCTGGTTTGTTAGTATTAAAAATAATAAACAAATCAAAATAATTTATTGGGTTAGGCTAAAAAAAAAATTGGTTCTTTTAAATGAGTTCTTGCTATTCGACCAGTTTTAAACATATTGGGCACGAAAAAAACCCCCACCCACACACAAAAAAAAAACAAAAAAAAAAAAAAAAAAAAATATATATATATATTATATATAATATATATAAAAATTATATATATATTAGTTCAAGTACTTTCACACTTCTCATGCGTCAATAAATTACTAACAAAAAGGCACATTCCCGGGACTGGAACAAAAACACAATAACCCGCACATAACATCCCCCCCTCCTTCTCCTTATTATAGACTTTGTAAAGATCCAAGTGGGACCAAAACGATGCGTAAGCTCCTCCCGTATGTAGGGGTTTATTTGTGTATTCTCATTCATCAGGAAATTGCAATGTTCGGGGCAGCAACAGGAGAAATAGGGTAAGTTGTCAAGTTGGAGCGGGGTAGCACCAGCCATTACTCGTCATAATGGCTGTCCCAATATGACAGGGGAGGGGTTTCACAGAGGGGTCATGAAAGATGGGTGAACATAGAACGGGCGGGCAAAAATGAGTGTGCACTGAGGAGTTTGGAAACAAAAAACATTGCCCTTGGGGGCAAAAGGGGAATGTAGAGAGCAAGTTATACCAACGTCTTAAATTGGTGTGAAGCAGGGTGGTAAAGGGAAAGGCTGGAGGCAGGGGAGATTTTTTGTGTGAGGGCAATGTGGGGTGTGAATAAAAGCAAAAATTTCGAGTTTGGAAAATTAGGAGGGGGTTTTTCCCAAAACTATTATCCAGAGGGCTGAGGAAGAGTTTTGGGGTTGTTGGGACATGTGAAAGGGGGAGGAACAAAAAAAAGCTTCGAAAGTTATAAACTGTAGTGGAAGGAAGGGTAGGGTCGACCAAGGAAAGATTGGAGGGGGGGGAAAAGGGGGTTTTGTTGCGAGGGTTTGGATTTTCCAGCAACCAGGGCTGAGCGTTTTAGGGGGGCGAATGGAGACGAATGATTTTAATACTTGACGTGCTGTTAAGTGTGTGCAAGGTAATTTTTATGAAGGGATTCGGGGAAAACCGGCGGGCCGGACTTAAAGCCCGGGAGAGGGAAGTACAGTGTCGCACCCTGAAAAGGAGTGAAATTTTCAGTTTTAAAAACTGAAAGTGTAAAGCCCCCTCGGGCAAACGTGAGGGAGTGAATAATTTGAAAGTTTTTCTTTTTCGGGCCACCCTACCTTGGGGGTGGCATATAATTATATAATTAAATATATAAATAATTATATATATTCGTCCCAAATAGGCAGAATTTGCCATTTTGGTTTAAAATAAAAAGCTCTCTTGCCATAAAGAACAAGTGAAAATTTTTGTGTAGCAAAAATTTCGCCAAAATCTTCGAACCTAACGAGAAATATATATTTGATTGTGTTTGTTTATACTAAATTATCTAAACGTATTTAAAAATTTTATTTGGGGTTAGGCTAAAATAAATTTTTTCTTGTTAAAAAAGGGTTTGTAAGTTTTAAAAATTTCCCCTTTGGGCAAAATTAAAAATGTTTGCTTTAACTTTTAATGAAAAAAAAAATTTTTTTAATCTATAAAAAAAATTTTTAGAAAGGATTTAAATTTTTAAATGAGTTCTTGCAAAATAAACCATTTTACATATTCGGAAAATTAAAAAAATTTTTTTAAATATATTATAATAATATATTATAAAATATATATTTATAAATAATTATATAAAAATATATATATATTTTTTTTTTGTGTTGGTGTGTGAAATTTTTTCTTAATAATTTATATCCCTTTTTTAAAGGAATGGAATCATAGTAATTATGGTGAGGTCAAAGGAGTGGGAATCAGGGGGGTAATCTGCTAATGCTTTGAGTGAAAAAAACCCAAATAGTGACGAAAAAACGTCACAAATTTTACACACGTCCGGATTTTTGGAAAATAACTTCAGGGAGTGGAAGCCCCATTAAAATTCGAAAAGTGAGAGAGAGTGTAGGCCCTAACGTGCTCCACACCAGCCATCCCCCAACTGAGGTCAGGTAGGGGGAGCCCCTTCTTCACACATCAGTACAGTGCAGCCCAAACCCCCAAAATGTGCCGCTATTGAGGTTTTCCTGGCCCTCCCTGCACACACAAACATCTATATTTAAAATTTCCAAAAAAATTATCATTACTAGACTGATAAAAGAGCGAAAATGATTTTTGAGCCCATATATCACCAGCAAATATCAAGACTCGGGGAATGTTGACTTGAGTTATCAGCGCGTTATCAGCCAGCAATACTAGTACGTTATCACTAAGGAATAATAGCATAATAAAAGTAGAAAGACCAGAATAGTCATGAAAACAATATCCTTGTGGGATTAGCACTTAAACTTTCATTATTTTTATGAAAACAGGATTCACAAAGAAATGTTTAGTAAGAAAAGAATTAAACAATTTTTACGCTAAACTCCGGAAAGAAATTTTGGGTAAGGCCCTACCCCCTTTCTGAATAAGCCTGAAAACACAGGGAAATTTTCCGACTAAATTTTAACTTTTTTGAAGGAAAAAATAGATAACAATGATAACGTTAAAAACGGGGGTCTAATTTAAAAATCGGTAAAAATTATAAACAGGCGTAGCGTAGTCTTCAATCACCAGCTTAGAAAGATGCTGCACTTGCTACGATTCTTCCAGCTTTAACTTGTTTTCAAAGAAATACACATGTTACTTTTGCCATTTCACCTGGGTGTAGCAGCCACTGTGGGGAAACACGAGAATTACGCTGCCGGATCAAACACTTTTTCCCCGTGCATCTATGTGAGAAGATTGTTTTCCACGAGCCTCGTGAACACTCGTATTAGCAACAGCAATCATTTAACTTCATTATTGTATTCCCCTTACAGGTTTTTGTATAAAAACTTTTTTTTTTCCTAGGATAATTTTCAACTTTAATAATCTTCCTTGATTTTTTGGGTGTTAGAAATTTTGAACAATACCAGCAAAAAAAACCTCGAGCTTTAAAAAGCTCGTACAACTAATGAATTAAAAAACATTATGGAGATACAGTAGTTCAATGAGTGAAATTAATTGCGAGAATAAAGTCTTTTTCCCTAAAAAAAAACTAACTTAAAATTATTAATCCATTGAAAGTTTATATATTAAAATATCAAAGTTAGTGTTTTTACCATCGTTACAGGGGGAGGAGCGTCAGCATTAAGATGGTAGATTTAAGGGGTATAATAAGATGGTTAAACTAGTATTTAACGCCTTATTAAGATAAATGGGAAAAACCATTGAAAAAACCAACACAGGGCAGATGGTATTGTTTACCATCTCAACGCCCTGGCCTCAACTCAAGCAGATATTATATATTTTCTGGAGTATACTCTTATACGTATCTCCGAAAGCACGGAAGTACAGTTTCCCAAAATTTTACATTTCAGAATAGGTATATTTAAAATTTTTTTAAAAACCCATACTGGGTATCAAATTATCCTAAGTGTGTGCACAAATATAAAGCAATCTTCAAACGCTCCTGTAATGACGACATTTAAAAATAATGACTACTACTGTCACCCTTAACCACTATTTTCTACTATAACTACGACTGTTGCGCTGATGTTGCTCTGATAATACAATTCATGCAACAAAAGTCGAGATTCTACGATCCCACTTTCCGAATTTTTTTCCCCCCTAAATTCTTTTTTCCTCCCCCCAAACCTCCTCTTTCCTTTTTCCATGGGCCCCTCCTTCCCTTTTCCCCAAGCACTCCATTACTTCTTTAAAATGAATCTTTCAAACTCTTCAACTAGAATTCCAAATCTCTTCCAAGAACTTTCTTTGCCCGCAAAACTTTTAAAAATTTCCCCCGGAAATCACTTTTCCCCTAAACACTTTTTGGGTCTATCCCTTTTCCAAAAAAATGCCAAAAATTTTGTTAGCGATACTGCTTAACCGACAGGAAATTTTCAGACCCCCTTGAATTCACTATTTCTATAGTTTTTTTTTTTACTACTTTAGATTTTATTTTTCATCCCAACAAGTCAAAACTTTTTTCCCTATGAACCCCTGAATAAGCGTTAAAATTTTTAGAAAAAGCTATTGTTAGTAAGTAATCTAAATGGGAATTTTTTTAATTATTAAATTTTAAAAAAAGAAGGGGTTTTAAAGGTATCCCCTTTCAACAATCGTTGGTGTAACGGGCTCCCGATTTTTTTAGGACTGAACAAAAAGAAGTAAGACGCCCCTCGTTGATTAACTGTTGGAAATTGGGTTCCTTCTGCTTTTTCACCTCCTTTTCCTTCCCCGAGGAGGAGGAGGAGGAGGAGGAGGAGTTGTGCCACTCCACCTGTTTCCTCGCCGAGGAGGTGGAGTGTTCCAGTTCGTCCTTGTGTCTCTTGCCAATGATACTTGTAACAAGAGTGAAGGAGGAAGCCACGATAAAACGACCCGGCTCTCCAATGACCTGAGAACAAAGATACAAGATGTAGGACAAACTTTTATTTGGACAACGTGTCACTCTGACTTAAAGCTCTACACAGAACGATACGCTGACCCAATGAAAGCTTGTTCTACAACTTGTATTTATATTTTCTTACTTTCCTACAAGGCACCTTTCACCAGTGACCTGTCAGGTGCAGTGAAAGGGAGTACATTACTTGATAGGAAATGTACTTAGTCACTTCATTTAAAAATACGTCTGGCTGTATGTCCATAACTCAAAATCAGTAAGTGAGAAAAAATGTGCTCATTTTGTATAAAAATGACCCCCAAATGATTTAGGAGTTAAATGTTTGCTGACTATAAAAATTCAGAAATTTGAAATTATACTTCACCAATTTTTTGAGAAGATGCCAGTCTCAAAAAACTAATCTAATTTTCAAGAACTTTACAGCTAAAAATGGATTTGATATGGTGTCATTCCTTCACCTTGACTCGTCCGTCATCAGGGAAGAAGTGGTCAAGTGCGATGTTTATATAATGTGAGAGTTCCCTCATCAACCTCTCATCATCACCAGGAAAACCTCCGCCTATGCCCCAACAGGTAAGGTTAAAACCCTTTCCTCCTCACCTTCGTCAAACACCTGCGGGAGGCGCACTTGTGTAAGTGTGGTAAGCGGAGGGAAGAAAAATTAAACAAGATTGTTGTATTTTTTATGTTTTATACGCCAGCCAATGTTAAAATATTTTATTATAAAATAAATCTTAAAACTGTGATTTTTTATATTGTTGTTCATGTAAAATTATTCCTTTTAGATGTTCTATTATTTGAAATTGTTTGAATTTGGGTTACAATTAAAAAAAATGAATTGGTGTGAATTTTCTAATTGTATTTGAAATATTTAGTGTTTTCATAATTTATAAAGGAAAGGTATATTTAAATGTTCATTGCATGATTTCGAAAGTGGTCCAAAACACTACGCCATTTTCTGGAATATATTTTGTATCTGACGGGTAGTGACTCACGAAATCGTAATAAAACGATTGTAAACAAACCACTGAAGGGGTGGGGTTAGAACTCATGGCAGGTGAGTCGTAAAACTCCAAGCCAGTGCGTAAACCACTGAGCCACCTGGCCCACAATAAGAGTCATTCAACTAGGTATATTTACACGTCATAGGCATGTTAGCATGACCACAAATGCAACCTCTCTATGGTGTTTAAATATACCTAGTTGGATGAATCTTATTGTAGCCAGGTGGCCCAGTGGTTTACACACCCACCTGTCCAGTGGTTTGACATGTTTCTATGTCAAATAGTGAAATTTAAAATTTTAAATTTTTCCATTCCCGATATTGAAATTAGAACAAAAATTACATGTAGAACGTGAATTGAAAAAAGTCTTGACTGCTGCTCTTAATTTGTAAAAAGAACATATCCAAAAGGAACTAAGAAAATGAAGGAAGGGTTTTGTTGGATTTCTTTGACCTGTCAAGATCATTCAACGAATTTACAAAAAGTTAAGATCAAATATGACGCTAATACTCGCAAGCTAAAAGTATATACCAAAAAACAAAAAAAAACAAAAAATAAAACATTCAGTAACAAACACAAAAAAATGAAATACAGTCACCCTCCAAAATTTCTTCGAGGTTCCTAACACTTAAACTAACCACATTCTGGTTAATCGCAAAGGCCAACTAAACCATAGTGTAACGGTGAGCCTCATCCTGGTAAAACTACTTTCTTGTTAACAGTATCTAATCTGCCAGATAAATGAAAGCACGAGGAAGAGCTAAATATTTCGTTGTAAGTTGTAAAGATATTTCACTTTCATTTTACCTCTTGGATGAGCATTGCTTGTCTTACAGGGATTTAGTACTTTCAATGAATTTAACAGTAATTTTTTTTTGCACGTACACGAGTAACTTTTCACGATGTATTTCAAGGATCATTGATAGCTGAGTGATTCATGATGAGTTAGACATTAACAACTGCAATAAACGTGCCAAAACCTCCATGATACAAAGCAAGGAAACAGGAGGAAAAAAAAACGATTGAAAGCATCATGAAAGCAATAGGAGAGGACGACATGACTCAGCTGAAAAATTTTTCGGAGAATTGGGTGGTTTGCGAGAGAAAAAAAACGTCCAGTCAAAGTGATTTTCAAGGCAGAGTCAGCTCGAAACCGGATCCTGCAGGAGAAAGCGCACCTAAGGGACAAACTGGAGTTCCGGAGTGTGTACCTCGACTGAGACAGAACACAAGAAGAAAGGATGATACTGAAGGAGAGGGTGCAACGTCGCAAGGAGGAATGGGAGGCAAGGAAGGTGGGTAGCAGGGGAAACCAGGCCCAGGTGGAAGAACAAACACAACCCCAGCCAGAATCACCGACACAGGAGCCCAGCCATGGCAATCCCAAACCAATCAAACAACCTAACCCAAAACCCACTCACTGTACCCTCTGCCCCCATCCCCCTCAGCATAAACCCCACCCCCACAGAAACCCACAGTAACCCACACAATGTACCCTCTCCCCATTCCCCTAACCACAAACCACACCCCCACTGTAACCCACAGCAACCCTCTATCTCCATCCCCTCCACCACAACCCCAACCCCCACTGTAACCCCATAGGAAACCCCTCCCCCTCCCTCTCACCACAACCCCACCTCCACTGAAACCCCCCATAGGCCCTCTGCCACCCACCCCCACAAGCAACCCCCTTATAGGCCCCCATCAGGCACGTGCTACCCCTAACCCACCATTCTCCCCAGACCACAGTTACAGAAAAGAAGTTGAAGGTTTGGTACACGAACGCAGATAGAATAACGAATAAATGTGAGGAGTGGCATCAAGGAATCAAGGAGATGTCTCCAGATATCATAGCAGTCACATAAACAAAACTCACTGGGACTATAACAGATGCAATCTTCCCACCTGGATATCAGAGCCTGAGGAAAGATAGAAGGAGCAGAGGGGCAGGAGGGGTTGCACTGCTAATTAAAAACCGGTGGAGTTATCAAGAAATGGAAGGAATGGACGAGATTGGAGAAAGGGACTACATAGTAGGTACAGTTCAGTCAGGGGAACATAAGGTATTCATTGCAGTGATGTATAACCCACCATAGAACTGCAGGAGGCCAAGAGAGGAATATGTGTGCAATAGAGCAATGGTGGACACATTAGCTGAGGTGGCAAGAAGAGCTTACTCGAGAAGAGCGAAGTTACTGGTTATGGGCGACTTTACCCGCAGGAAGATTGATTGGGAAAACCTGGAGCCACATGGGGGTCCTGAAACATGGAGAGCCAAGATGATGGATGTGGTACTGGAAAACCTCATGCACCAACATGTTAGGGACACTACCAGAGGGAAAGGGAGGATGACCCAGCAAGACTGGACCTTGTGTTCACCCTGAGTAGCTCAGACATTGAGGACATCACATACAAAAGGCCCCTTGGAGCTAGTGACCACGTGGTTCTGAGCTTGGAATACATTGTAGAGCTACAAGTGGAGAGGGTAACAGGAGTAGAAAGGGAAAAGCCAAACTATAAAAGGGGGAACTACACAGGTACGAGGACCTTCAAGCAGGAGGTTCACTGGGAGAGTTAGTAGGAAAGTCAGGAAACGAAATGATGGACTATGTAACAACAAAATGCAAGGAGGCAGAGGAAAGGTTTGTTCCCAAGGGTAACAGAAATAATGGGAAGAACACAACGAGCCCTTGGTTTACCCGAAGGTGTAGGGAGGCAAAAGCTAAGTGCGCTAGAGAATGGAAAAAGTACAGAAAGCAAAGAACTCAGGAAAATAAAGAAATTAGTCGACGAGCCAGGAACGAGTATGCACAGATAAGGAGGGAGGCCCAGCGGCAGTACGAAAACGACATAGCATCGAAAGTCAAGTCTGACCCGAAACTGCTTTACAGCCACATCAGGAGGAAGACAACAGTCAAGGACCAGGTAATCACGCCGAGGAAAGAAGGTGGGGAGCTCACAAGAAATGACCAAGAAGTATGTGAGGAATTCAACATGAGATTTCAGGAAGTATTTACAGTGGAGGCTGAAGGGACACTGGGAAGAAGACAAAACAGTGGGGTACACCAACAAGGAATATACCAACAAGTGTTGGATGAAATACACACAACTGAGGAGGTGAAGAAGCTCCTAAATGACCTTGATACCTCAAAGGGGGTGGGACCGGATATCTCTCTGTGGGTCCTCAGAGAGGGAGTAGAGATACTGTGTACCACTAACCACCATCTTCAACACATCCCTTGAAACTGGGAAACTACCTGAGATATGGAAGACCGCAAATGTAGTTCCCCATCTTTAAGAAAGGAGACAGAAATGAAGCACTAAACTATAGACCAGTGTCACTGACATGTATAGTATGCAAAGTCATGGAGAAGATTATCAGGAGGAGAGTGGTGGAGCACCTGGAGCAGAACAAGGTTATAAACGACAGCCAGCACGGACTCATGGAAGGCAAATTCTGTGTGACACACCTCCTAGAGTTTTATGACAAGGTAACTGAAGTAAGAAATGAGAGGGAGGGGTGGATTGATTACATTTTCTTGGACTGCAAGAAGGCCTTCGACACAGTTCCTCACAAGAGATTAGTACAGAAGCTGGAGGATACGGCACATATAACAGGAAGGGCATTGCAATGGATCAGAGAATACCTAACAGGGAGGCAACAGCGAGTCATGGTCCGTGATGAGGTATCACGGTGGGTTCCTGTGACGAGCGGGGTCCCACAGGTGTCAGTCCTGGGACCAGTGCTATTCATGGTATATGTGAACGACATGATGGAAGGGATAGACTCAGAAGTGTCCCTGTTTGTAGATGATGTAAAGTTAATGAAGAGAATTAAATCAGATGTGGACCAGACAGGTACACAAAGAGACCTGGAGAGGCTGGACGCGTGGTCCAGCAACTGGCTCCTAGAATTTAACCCCGCCAAATGCAAAGTCATGAAGATCGGAGAAGGGCAAAGAAGACCGCAGACAGAGTATAGGCTATGCGGCCAAAGACTGCAAACCTCTCTCAAGGAGAAAGATCTAGAGGTGAGTATAATACCGAGTACGTCAACAGAAGCACACATTAACCAGATAACTGCTGCGGCATATGGGCATCTGGCAAACCTGAAAATAGCGTTCTGGTACCTCAGTAAGGAATCGTTCAAGACTTTATACACTGTGTACGTCAGGCCCATACTGGAGTATGAAGCACCAGTTTGGAACCCATGTAGACAGCCTGTACTGTCTGCACAGACAGTCCCTGCTGTCTGCCAGCTTAGTTCATATTTTGCGGCATTTTAGGTGCTGCCCTCTGTAGGCTCACCCACGTCAGTGGGAGGCTGAGCCCACCGGCCCTCACTCCTAGGCCGACCCTCTTGATAGACACAAGTGCTTCCCCTCCACGGACTGGCTTGCGGTCACTCCCTCACACTGCCCATTGTGTACTCACTCCTACCCAATTAAAGCCAAACTAGTCCACGGCCGTATCATTGCTACCTACGCTACCTTCATCGGCACTAAACCGCTGTTCAGCAGTAAGAACAGCAATAACAGTGGTGACAGCAGAGTCAAC